GTCCAGTCCTTTCATAACGAGTAATGAAATGACTCAAAGTTGGAAATGGTCTGTGACTGTTAAAAGAACGTGGTCTCAGAAATCTTTGTGTAAGCACACGAAATTCAGTGTCACACAAAATACTGCTGTTAGACAAATATGCTACAAATGTACGTAAGTCAAATCAGCTGAGTTTCGAGGTGAATGATTCGGTCGAAACCTTGTTCCTTCAATGGTTCAAGATTTTGTGCTTAAACAAACTTTCATGCAACAGCGCAAAGTTTGCCTGCCAAACCACTTAATGCGAATAACGTTGCAAATCGCCCTTCGTAATCGGTTCCTTAGTTCGACCTCTAGGGTGAACGACTCTCATACACGAGAGTGCATTTTGCATAGGCTCTACCATAGCCGTGGACAATGGCCAAGATCACCTAAACGACCGACTGGCAAGAAACCTACAAACAGCTGATACACGATCTCCCTATGTCTCTAAAACAGACATGTCTCTATGCAGAAAGCTGTGATTCGAAACCCAAACGAAACCAATGCTATCATATCCTCACTTCCCTCCAAAGAGGAAATGATTTCGTCATTTTTTTACCCCGGATCGCGCGTTCATCTATTTCATCCTTGTATTTTCGTCCTCATCTCGTTCAGTGTAACCTGGTTAAACCTGGTTGACAGTAGCTGCTGAGCAAAAGCCTGAACCGCCATATCAGTTCGACGTATAAACAGTCAAGTGAAACGGGCGGGAGAAGGTGGTACACTTCTGGAACAGGTTAAACAGGTTACTGACTGACGGTCGCCTCATGTCCCCCGTTCTAAACAAGAAACTTCCAGACCGATATCACCTTCGGATACACGTTTAGTGCTGACAGCCTGTTCTTATTGGTCAGCCTTTGATCTTGTGAGCACGATTTGAAAACGTAGTGTTATATTCAGTAACAGCGATCGGATCGACGATGCGTCTGAATCACGCTGTACAGAAGACGGTTCTTTGGTAAAATTTTCCAGCAATATGCTGATACTACAGAAAGGCTGCCATGGATACATCAAGAGGGAGTATGATAGTCAGGGACGAAAGTACTACCATTGCAATACGACGATGAAGACTCGTTTGACTTTGTTGTACAATCAGAAAGTGGACAACGATAGCCAAGTCATCATGAAGACATTTCAAACATAACCGATGTGAAGGCACCTAACCGTGGACATCTACTTTAGAAACGCCTGAATTTTCTGCTGGAACGAGGGAAGAGGTAAGCAACTACAATTCACACAATGTGAAAGAATTGTGAAAAGGCTTCCAAAAATTGAGAAACATGGTTCTCAGAAAGATCAAAGGGTAAAGAGAGCAAGAGAATATCAATCCACCCCGAATAATGCGCTCTTATATAACTCTCTACAGTAGTACTGGTGCAAACCAAACGTTTGAAGATGAAACAGCGCTTTTGGCTTGAAAGACATTAAAAGAAGTGTGCCACGAACGGGTATATTGTTTCAGCCATAACTTTGAGATAGCAGAAGTACCTGATTCATAACTTACTTCGAGATACTGTATTCCATCAAACTGAAGTACTATTTGTAACGGTCAGACGGCAAAAATCTGGTTTACACTGCTGTTTAAGTTCTGTGAACCTGAACTGACGATGACAAAAAACAACCGTCTATGCAGTACCGACTCTCAAATGCCATGAAACCGCGGTCTGGTGAAGGGAAGGGTACATCACTGCTATATAACTCGGCGTTATGACATCAGTCGTCGTTTACTATGGCAATATTGATGCGAACCAGAAAGTATAACATAGCAGTCAACAGCATTTTTTCCTGATTGACAGTTCAGGAAATATTCCATGCTCAACGGTCCTTGTGGTGATGCCTTCCAAGACAAAAAGAATTTCGCGCAATTTTCCCCAAATGCAAAAATAACAGAGACGAGGCAATCAAAATGTGTTTTTGAACGCTATAGTTTCGAAAAGAGCACCGAAGTCAACCTCACTACCAGAGATTGATTAACGATCAGAAGAAAGCTTCATAAGCTTTAAAAAAATAAGAAGCATTGAAAGAAGACAAAGAGGACGTTAGGGGCGATCATTCAGAGAACGAAGACTTCTTTGGTTGGTACAGCGTCACAGAAAACAACTGATCGGCTTTCGGATTAAACGTGCAAACGCATCAAAGCCAGACGGCAGGACCAAAAGCAGGTGGCTGAACGAATGATCGCCAAAAGTCGAAACAGCACTAATGAACCGTCGGCTTTCGATCGTAAATTAATCAATCAAAAAAAAACACGAGCGGGACTTCTGACGTAGAGTCAGGAGGCAAAACGAAGAGCAGA